GTGGCCCACCTGGGTGAGGCGGTAAGAAAGAAACCTTCAAAGAGGCTGCTGCAGAAATCTTCCAGGGCAAACTCATCAGCCAGCAGGGCCAGGCTCCCAGTGAGGAGGTGGAGGAAGATGTCACTGAAGGCCAGGTCGCCAAAGGTCTCCACTGCAACCATGCAGCAGTCAGTCAGGCCACCACCCTCCCAGCACCTGGCCCCAGGGGACCCACAGGAGGCTTGGCAAAGCAGGAGGGCCAGAGCTGGGGTACAGGCAGAGATGATGCCCCTGCCAGACCAGAGTCCAGTAGCTGCCAGGCCAGACACGCCACGGACACCAGTGAAATGGAGGAATGTACCAGGCACAGCACAGAGTTCTCCAAACACCATGCAGACAGTTCTCAGGAACAAGGACAAAGGACTGCAGACAGGTGGGGAAGCCACAGCTGCCAAGGCAGGTCTGCTAGAAACACTGGGAGCCTCCTGTGGCACCTGCATCACTTGCAGGAAGGGAAGGTGATGGATGACACCTTAGTCACACCCCTCACAAGGGACAATGGACACAGTGCCACTCGAGAGTACCCTCAGGGCAGACCCTGCTGATGCCATCTGACCCATGGGATAGCTAGACATTTCAGGGGCCCCTGGCCTCCCACGGAGCTACTGCCAACTATCTGAGTCTCAGCTGCTATGAACCCAATTCCCGCAGCTGACTCCAAAGCACCCCAGACTGAGAGTTCAGCAGCAGGAAGCTGCAGAGGGAAGGTAGCTCCCGAGTCCTGGCATGCCATCTCCATGGTGATGCTGAAGCCACCACAGACACACAGCTGGCCCAGTGCCTGATCTGCAGGAACCACAGCCAGCTGAGCGACCACACTCCGAGGTAGGTGCTAGGAAGCCCCTTCCTTTGCAGGGTGCATACTGAACTGTTTGGGGGACACGTGTGGCAATATCAAGGTCCTGAGCCACACAGACCTGGACCAGTGACACACAAGGCTTCACCATGGTGTGCTCTTAGCTTTTCATCTGCTCAGAGTGCTATGATCAGAAATCAAGCAAAACTCAAAATAAAAATAACTATAGTGAGGCCTGACTTACAAACATTGGAGTTACGAACTTTTACAAATACAAAAAGGCCTCAAATTATGAACATTCGTAGATGTGAACAAATCACAGAAAGAGCTCATACCTCTGCTGGACAGTGCCACAGTTGTGCTGCTGTGTGCTTACTGTACAATGCGATAGTACATAGTTTATCTATGTGTGTGTTTGCCTTTTTTAAAATGCTTTACATTGGTTGTTTGATACCGGGGATCTAACTCGGGACCTTGCACTTGTGAAGCAGGTGGCGGAATACATTGTGTATTTGTGTCAAGGTGTTTAAGACTCACTTTGTCAGTCTTACTTAGGAACATATCTGACTTACGAACATTCCCCCAGAATGGAACTCATTTTTGTAAGTCAGGACTTACAAGAGTAAATAAAAGAAAATCCCACAAAATCCACGTCCATTCTTCCTAGAATCCAATCAAACACTTTAAAAACAAGCCCTTCCTGAACAGGACTGCAGTGACACATGCCACTCATTTGGGGACAGATGCCTGCCGATACGAAGCTCCAGAATGAAGAGCAAGGCAGATCAATGTCATTTCTGACCAAAATACAAATAGGCCCAGGCCCTTAAATATCCTGACACCCCCAAAGTTGGAGAGCATGTGGACCTGATTCTGTCGAGCTGGCAGGAGCTGGGAGGCTCCTAGTTGCCATAGCCCAACAGAAACCTGCAACAGCAGAGGCCGGAGTGTGTAGCAGCTCAATCCAGCAGCCAGGGAAAACCAAACCCAGCTGAGAACACAGTTGGAGGGTGGCCACATACAAATTAATACCCACAGAAGGCTTCCTGCACACAGAAAGCTGCAGAAGGGATTCAACACACTTAGCATGAAATATGCACAACCCCAGAAGGCTCGAGTGAGTAGAAGCCAGGGCCTGTCTCTGCAGACACAGATGCTCCGAAGCCACCTCTCCCAGCGGGACCTGTGGGGCCCCTCCACTTCTTCCTGGCTCACTGTCATCACCCTGCAGCGCTTTCAGTCCTCCATGCACCCAGAGAGCCCATCCCTTCACCAGTCGGTGCCAGACCCTGTGTGAGCCACACACGAGACAGAGCAGCAGCTGTGCAGATGCTCCCCTTTACAACCCGCACACCAGGGCCTCCCGCTGCACAGTTGGAGGCCAGGCCAGGCACCTAGGTGCACAGCACGACGGCACTCACCCAGCCCGGGCAGCAGACGCAGCAGTGCATTCTTGTTCCTCTGCTTCGTGATGTGCAGGACATAGTACAGCCCGACCTCACAGGCCATACGCTGCTCCTGCAAGAACCTGGCCGGGACAGGACACAAGCTGCAGTGAACCCTGCCCAGCAGCCACCCCGCTGTGCCAACCCATGCCCTCACACCATGGATTCTAAGCCCTACTTGGTAAAACTTTCAGGAAGCGTGTTGGGGTACGTGACTGGTGCTTTCTCCTCAGACGGAAGCTTCTGGTCCACATTGAATGTGTAGTCGTCCACCACAAAGGACATGAGCATCGGCAGGAACTTGGTGATGAGCTCTACTTCCTGAGGAGGAAGACCTCTGAGCCTGTGCCTACCCCAACAGGGCCATCCCCTGCAAATCTTCCAGACCCTCTCCTGGCCTCCTGGAACCCCACCCAGCACTGTGTCCCTGAACCCCTGAACCCCCACCTGGCACAATCACATGGCCAGCCCATCTTCTGAGACACCCCAAACACCCAGGTGGGCGTTTCCCAAAAGGAAGCCTCCAGTGACACTGTGGGACCAGAGGGGCCTGCCTTGCCCCTCCCCCAAGGAGCAGAGTACAGAGTGGTCTCGATTCAGATTTGTACCATCTTTGGCTCCTTGAAGACCTGGCTGTCGATCAGGTCCCATGCCCCCTGACCCAGAGCCAGCAGCCTGAGCAGCAGGAGGAGGTCAGGGCTGTCCTGTAGGGAAACAGAGACCTCAACAGCACACCAGGGCTAGGCCACTGCTGACCCTGCTCACCATGCCGCTGGGAATCCACTGCCCCTGGGCCAGATGCCAGGGCCCCAGGACCTCAATCACAGCCCCCATGTGCCCTGGGCCACACCTGCACTCACCCTGGGCAATGTTTCCTGGCTGACCAGCTCCTGTAGGTGCCTGATGGTGCTCAGCGACAATGTGTTAATGGCAAAGGGGTCACAAAGGATCATAGACAGGTCCCTGGAAGGAATGGCTCTCGGCATTAGCTGGGGAGCCTGGCTGTCCCACCCTGTCACTGTATTCCACACAGCCAGCTGAAGGAACAGCTAAGCACTAGGCTGCCAGGCCTTGAGGACTGGCTTCCTCAATAGGAGGGAGCAAGCAGATTGGACTCCAGATGTCCACCACTGAAAAGCTTAAGGCTCACAATTTTTCCTTAACTGACCCAAAGATCTTTCAAACCAGAGTTAGGAAGTGAAGTGTACATACTGGTAGGCTTTGGTTCTGAAAACCTGGCCCAGATTCTGACAATGCTAGCTCAGGACCATGGCGGGGCTGTACCCCAAGCACTGTGTTCACGCACCAGTCCGAGGATACTAGGAGCCAGGATGGGGCCCCACACCACTCCTCAGCTCAAAGCAGCCAAGGAGCAGTGTCCCCACACTCCACAGAGATGGGGTCTCTCTGCTACCAGACTCATCCCAAGCAATGGTGTCTCAGCTGGGGACACCCTGGAATGAGGGCCAAGGGCTAGGCTGACCCTCACCCCAGGACCTGCTCCTGCCCCTTCTTCACGCCATCCAGAAATCCCTGCAGCTCCCGGGCTCTCTTGCTGTCCACAAACCGCTCTCGGATGCAGGCATCCAGGCACCACGTAAACTGTGGGGGAAGGCAAAGTCAGAGCAGGGACAGCCAGAGTGGCACCAAACGACAGCCCTCTCAGCTCACTCCACCCAGACAGCACTGAGGGGCCCTGACAGCCACAGGCTAGTGGTGGTGGTGGCAGGGGCAGAGATGAACACAGACGCAGGCTACACCCCAGAACCCCAGCCCTGGCCATGCCCAAGAACTGGTGGCCCCAGAGAGGGCAGAAACAGGGCAGTATTCTGGGGCCCATGCTGGACCAGGGGACCTCCAGACTGAGACAGGCTGGGACCACTATCTGCCTTGTCACTTGCCCACCACATACTGACACAAGAAAACCCAGTGCCATGGGTCCAGAGGATATAGTTCGGACAGAAGACACCTCTGATCCTTCACTGGCGTGTGGGGCCTGCAGGAAGCAGGGGTATCCTTTCTGGGGCAAAAGCTGCAAGGTCACTGCAGCACCAGGAGAGGACCCATTTCCTTGTGGCTCATGTGTGGGCACTGCAGCCTACCCAGCAGCAAGGCTTGGAGCAGGACGGTGTGGGGAGACTTGAACTGGTGCCATCCCCTTCTCTGGGCACCCTTGTGCTCACCAACAGCTGAGGTCAAGGAAGCTAGGATGGTCCAGGGCAGCCACAAGGCCTGCACCAGCTGGGGCAGGAGGGAGGGCCAGTGCTCAGAGCTCCCAGCAAGGTCAGCAGCTGCACGACAGCAGAACTTGAGAGCGAGGCTCAGCATGCACACCTTGTGGCAGGGATCCACGGTGCAGATGTCGCCCACATCAAGGTCATGCAAGGACATAAGCAGCTCGGCCCTCAGCGTGCAGTAGTGCACGTTCCTGGTCCGCAGGAAAAGCGTGCGCAGGAACTGCAACACCATGTCATACAGCTTCACGTTCTTCCCCACCATCTGTGTCAGCTTCTGTACCACCTAGAGGACACAGTGCAAGGAGCCCAACCCAACCCACACAGCAGTGGCACAGGTCTGGGCCCAGAACCAGCACTGCCCTCCCTCCAGAGAGCTTCCCCACAGGCTTCTGTCCCCGTTGTCCCCTTGTGTCCCCGTTGTTGGCCACAGAGTACCAGCAAAGCCCCCCATCCAGAGAATAAGCACTGCTGTCCAGGGTTCCCCTACCTTCACTGCAGGGCAGCACAGGGACACGGTACCACCTGACATAGGACTCAGGCCAGAGTCCGGGTGGCTCATAGGCTCCTACCAGAGGGCCACAGCTTCTCTGGCCAAAACACCACAGCTAACTGGCCTCAGCCCCTGGTTTGAGGGACACTTAGGGCAAGCCCAGGGTGATGGGTATCACAGAAAGCCCAAGGCACCAAGCTGCACTCCACCAGCGGTAAGGTCAGCAAGGGCTACAAAGCCCCTGGCCCTGCAGACATTCTCAGGATCCCTGACAGTACCTGCCACTGAGGTCTGCAGGCCCCATCTCAGCTAAACTGTGTCCAGAGCTCACAGGGCTCCTAGCCACCTACATGGGAACTAGGCACTTCCAACGAGGATGGTGGGCAAGCGGGACCATAGCCCTGCCCCTGTACACATGAACCAAAGGGAGGAGGCTGTCCAGGGCTCCTGATCATAGCTCATCAAGGACAGAACCCAGGACCCACCCAGCTGCCTCACACTTTGGGACCATGAGCAGGTGTTAGCTTGGCACTCACTGCCACAGCACTGCAGTATCATGGAGCACCAACAGACTGCAAAGCTTCCAGACTCCGAAAATCAGGCTGTGGACAAAGCACGGGGAATCGGAGGCTCTTCAGAGCCATCTTCAGCAATGCACACCAGAGAAAAGTGAAAAAAGACTTCAACACTTGGAACTTCAAGTGCAAGTAGACCAGTCGGCTAACGTCTAAGCGAAATAAACAGCAGGTGCATCTGAACTCTGAAAACTTTCTTCAGTGTTTCTGAGGGACTGCGGTGTCACTCAGTGGTAGAGCAGTTAGTTGCCCAGCACACCTGAGACCCAGGGTTCCATCCCAAAGCCCCGCAAAAAAACCAGAAAAACAACAACAAAAAAAGGATGTTCCCTAACAAAACAAGAAAAAGTAAGCTAGAGGAAGAGGGGCTGGAGATGTCGCTGAGTGGGAGAACACTTGCCTAGCGTGCCTGAATGTTCGATCCTGAGGCCTCAAAAAGAAATTTGTTTTAAAGGAGGAAAGCAAGCTGGGGGACACAAAACATACAATTAACACAAGACACGGGCAAAGAACAGATGTGGGGTGGCCTGGCACATCAGGGAAGGAAGCCTGTGAAGGGTAATGGAGTTCCAGAGCTGGGATAGCGGAGAAAGCCAGGACACAGGTCCCAGAATAACAACCAGGAACCTCAGGAAAACTGCATGCCGCACCATCACTGTCCAGACGAGCAGCACAAAGAAATGTGGTGGCCTGTCCATCCTGGAAGGGCAAGATGTCCACAGCACAGGACACCACGGACACCGCCCTCTGGCCATGCCAACAATGTGATGTGACCAAAAGACAGATCCACCCGGGAGTGAGGCCTGGAGACAGCCTGTGGGGCAAGCCAGCAACCTGCAGAGTATGGGTGCAGCTGAGGGGGGGGACAGAGTGGCCCCCACTTCCTGGCCTGGAGGAGAGCTGGAGGGAGGTGATTTTCTGCTCTGTATATTTTGCTGTTTGTGTTAAAATACTACTTTTCAGTGCTGGGGATTTAGCTCAGTGGTTCCACTGCCTGCCTTGCAAGCACAAGGACCCAAGTTCAATCCCTGGTACAATAAAAACAACAACAACAAAAACAAAACAACTACTTTTCAGAGAAAGCTCACCCTAGGACAAGGCAGACCAAGCAAGTCTCTCAAATCCAGAATCAGCTCACCAGGAAAAGGAGAGATAGAGAAAGGCTGGGGACACTGGGACCTCACAGCTCAGAGGGGCAAGGGCTTAGTCTGCAAGATGGACAAGATGGGGCCAGAGGGCTGAAACCAGAATAAACAGCACAGGGAAGGGACAGGCAGGGTGTGTGCCATACCCGCCCAATCCCAGCAGGGGCCACTCCACCTGGCCCAGAGCCTCAGAAAAACCAGCAACATGTGGCTACTTGGTGTTGGCTATGTGGCAACAACACGTGCTATAAGCATGGAAGACTCACCACAATGCAAAATTAGTGACTCTCAGATAAAAACAATACAGCTCAATAACAATCATTCACACCGATTACCAATCACATTACATTAGATTAAAGAAAAGGTATTATCTACCACCCCAATATGGGGATTAAATCCAAGGCCTTTGGACCTTTTTTGTATATTTTACATTAAGATAAGTTCCCACTAAATTGACCAGGTTAGGGACAGGGATTTAGCTCAGTGGTTCCACCACCTGCTTCACAAGCGCAAAGTCCCGAGTTCAATCCCCAGTACCAAATAAACAAACAAATAAATTGCCAGGTTAGATTTAAACTTCCAATATTCCTGCCTCAGCTAGCTGAATAGCTGGGATTCCAGATATGCACCACCATACACAGCTCCTCTATCCTTTTTTCCCTCGATGGGGATAATAAACTTTGAATGATATACATAGCTTACTTGTTCGCTTTACTAACTGATACTCATAGGTCAGGTGTGGTGGCACAGACCTATCATCCCAGCACTCGAGAGGCTGAAGCAGAGGGATTGCCGCAAGTTCATGGCCAGCCTGGGCTACACCCTCAGTTCAAGACTAGCACATGGGGCGAGGGATTTAGCTCAGTGGTGCCACGCCTGCCTTGCAAGTACAAGATCCTGAGTTCAATCCCCAGTACTGCCAAAAAGACTAGCACAAACTATACAGCAAGACCCTGTCTCAAACATAACAAAAAGACAGACAGATGGCTAATTAGGAAATCTCAATAAAAAGTAACTTATTAGAGGTTTAGTGGCATTAGTAATAAGTGAAAACTTCTATTCACTCTGTTCTAAAGTGTGAAATATGAAATACTCAACCACACCACCTTAACAAACTACTTAGATCGGAAAGCTTATGTACCAGTTCGCTCTTTGAAATGGTGTACAGCTGTCCTTTTAAATTAAAGTCCTGTCCACAGACTTTACCCTTACACTAACATGCAAAATACACACAAACTTAGAGGCAACCAAGCTCTACAGCTATAAGCAGTAGCCCACACTCCAGAACAACTCCCACCCTCACTGGGGAAGAAGGGGCAGCCAGGGAAGGGGCTGGCCACACAGCCCCGAAGAGCTCTGCTTGAGCTCCCGCAGCCCCTCACCTCACCCTGGCGTCTGGTCTTGGGGGAAGGACTGAAGAAGTTGTGCAGGACAGAGAGCTCCGTGCTGAAGAGTGCATTTTCCTTCTCCAGTATGTACTGCTTCAGCAATGGAGACACCTCATCTCCAAAGAGCGCCTGGTTGTCCTGCCAGATCTGCCGCTTCACCTCTACTGCACAGGCTCGGTACAGCTCCTTGTCAGCCATGACCAGCTTCAGCTTCTTCTCAGGAACCTACACAGAAAGCACCATAGCCTCCTTGGCCTCCCTCGGGACAGGCCGAGAGCCCCGCCCACCCACAGGTGCACAGCACAGCACCAGGCCCCAGTGAGTGCGGGCAGACATGCTCAAGACCCATGGCTCTTCCAGAATAAGCCCCATGCTCCAACGTGAGTGCAGGCTTGTCTCCGTGAGGCTGCGGGGGGGGGGGGGGGGCGGCACAGAGGTCCCCAGGGTATAGCACTCAGGCAGGCAGCTCACCCAGTCTCCCCCAAGCTCAGCAGCTGCCTGGACCAGTGCAGGTTCACTTCGACCAACCAAAAGCAACTGGACAGGCAAGCAGGCAGGCTGGCCAAACTGCAGCAGGCCACAGGTCCTGGCATCCCAGGAGGGTAAGCCCCAGGACTCGCACCTTTGGCAGATGTTTCATGACGCACATCACCACGGGCTGCAGGGAGGGCATCTTGACCAGGGAAAAGCTCTTCTCCAGCAAGTCTTCCAGCTTCTTATACCTGAAAAAACTTGTGCAACTGAAGGGATGGATCTCAACGTTCAGGACACCCTGGGAGGGAGGGGTCTCACGCAGTCCTGGGTCACCACTACAACCTTAAACGCTGCCCAGGCAACTGGAGGCTGAGAAGTGGCTGCACAGCTCCCCTCACCACTTGCAGGCTGAGACTGACCTCTCCTCCGCCTTTCCCTCCGAGGCGATGGCTGACACCCGCTCCAGCAGCTTGTCCCTCAGCTCATCAAACACCGACTGGTGGAACTCCAGCCGTGGAGTCCCGTGCAGGTCCAAGAAGGGCAGAGCCGACTGCAGGGAGGGCAGCAGCACGCCATTCTCTGTCTGAGGAAGCAGAGGGCCAGTGCGGATGGGTCATGTTGAGAAAAACCTCAGCCACAGGTGCCCCGAGTACGCCCGGATGTCCTGAGTACACAGCGGGGCACCAAGGCCACGGATGTGGATTCCCCAGCCGCGCTGGCAGAAGCCTCGAACACCAGAAGTGTTCCCGCAGTGGGCACCTCCCCGCAGGGGCAGAGACACGCCGTCCGGGACCCACCTGGAATTGCTCGATGGCCTTAAGCGGCTCGGTGCAGTTGGTAAGGGTCTCCTTCAGGTCCTCACCGTTGGCCACACCCAGGTCCTGCAGCCCCGCGAACAAGGCCGAGGCCCCAGCCGCCGCCTGGCTCTGCGTACCATCGCCGCTCCGCTCCCC